TCCAACACATGGAAGCATACATGGGCTACCCCCACAACTATATGCAGTACAGTAGTAGCGCTAAATCTGCTCTGCGGGGCCCGGTTTTCGGGGACCCGACGGCTGGGATGTTGATGGAGAACATGAATGTGGAGCGGATGATGACGATGTTCGGCAACGGCGGCGGCAGCTTTGGCGGCGGTGAGTCGAGCTCTGTGCAAATGCCGGCGGCGCAGTACTATCCCCTGCTTCAGGTGCAGCCACCAACGACACCGTACATGCAGTACCCGATGAATGTGCTGAATTTGGCTCGCAGGATTGGTCCGATGTCTCAAGTCATGAGATCATCATCTACTGGAGGGAGGAGCCAAGTACTGTCTGAGTTGTGAAGTTGTCGTTCAGTAAACATAAGAATTAATTATATATCACTAGCTTGGGGGTATTTCTTAACATGTTTTATTAATTAACTCTGCTTGAGTTAATTGCCTTTTCATTTCTGAACATGTCCTTTGTTACTTATGTTTATAACTTGTAGACTTTCGCGTTTATATATGTTTTGGTTAATGCAGTAATTTTTTTTAATTGTTATTTAACTAGTTATTTGTTCATTTTCTTCAATGGAAATTATACATTAATTCTCCAGAAGACTTAATAGAAAACTTAAAGCAATGTTGGCTCAAGGGTAATGTCATAAAGGCAAACTGCCCAAGTGCCCCTTCAGTCAAGTCCCTTATTGTAAGAATAATTAACTAATTACTTCAATTTCCTTGGTTAGAAACCTTAACTAGATATCTCTACATTAAAAATATTGAACATATTAATTAGTTCTGTTCTAGATAAAAAGTTCGACTTCTTAGGTCTTAGCTTAAAAACCGAAAATTCATAAACATGAACTAGCTAGTAGTGAAAAAATTGTTTGTTTCTAAATATAATTTTTAATAATTTATTTATTCTTTTCTAATATTTTTTTTATAATAATTGATCTACGAATATATCTTCAAACATTTCTTGCGGGCTGCGTCATAGTTGATATGTTATTTCAACCACCTTGTAATCCTCTTTGAATAACTGTTCAGTTGAAAAACAGGAACAAAAGAGGAAATATGTCAGTGTATAGGAAATTCGAAAACTAAATAAATTAACTTGTTATTGAGTTTCTTGAAAAAGACATATATATTAATAGAAATATATAAAATTTGGTTTGTAAGTTTACAGCTCACAATGAGTAAAGACACAATGAAGTACAATGTTTTCTTTTTATAATTTATAAGTAGGGCTGTTCATGGGTTGGGTTGGTGCGGGGTAGGACTTTTTTTTCCCCGCCCCAAAGGGTGCGGGTTGCACATATTTGGCCCCAACGATGTGAGAAAAATTTCACAACCCAACGATGTTTGGGTTGGGTTGGGGCGGTGCGGGGTGGGTTGGGTGGTCGGTTTCAATATTTAAAAAATCAAAGACTTAAAGTTCAATATAATATTCAAACTTCATCATTAAATAGAAATAGCAACCATCCTTATCAGTCCGGCGAGAGAGCACCGGAGAAAGTGGGCAAGACGACGGCCGAGAGGACTGAGCAATGAGAAGAGAGTTATGAGGGGGTTCACAGGAGGGGAAGAAGAGGGAAAACTGAAAAGGAAGAGGCAAGAAGAAGGGGTTCGCGGGAGAGGAGACCGAGAATGAGATTGTGAACCCTAATGTTAGCGAGCCTAGGGTAGAACTTGGGCAGTTCGGCTTGGGCCGGAAGCTTGGGGGGATGTTGTGCGGGGTGGGTTGGGAATTGCAGGTTGTTATGGGCCCAACCCGCAATCCGCCCCAAACACTTCGGGCCAGAGGTATAATGAGCTGCAAATTTAAAAATAATACTGCGGGTTACTTTTTTCGGCTTGGATTGGGGCGGTGTGGGTTGGGTTTGCGGGTTGTTCGGGTTTATGAACAACCCTATTTATAAGTGCTTTTTTTTTCTTTTTTAAAAAATAAGGCCTCATTTGAAGGTTTTGCTTAAGTCCCCAAAATAGGCTTTACTCTTGAGCATTAGTCCTCTAAAATAAGCTGGTATGTACTACAGTAAAATAAAATGATATTCACTTCTAGTAATTTATAAGATTTAGTAGTTTTTATGAAAAATATGACTGGCTATTAATACATGGAAATGCAAACAATTAAAAAGGCAACATCTAGAGACCAATTGAGATTGATCCAACTAGTAGAAGCCCTCAACATATAATTGCAGCAATACAATTAATTAAATGGGTATACTAATTGCAGCAATTTTGTGTCCCATAATTTAGCCGATGATCAGTCAACGGTCCCGTTCATTTCACTAATTCGAGTTTAGAATTTGAGTTTTGCTACAATAAAAAATTCTTAAAAACAGTCACATCTAACTTTTTTACTACAATAAAAAACTCTCATATAAAATTACATCTCAACTCGAATTAAAAACTCGAATCAGCGAATTAAGGCTCAATATGTGTTTGTATTGTTAATGCTATTCCTCCTCTAATTTGGCGTTAGTTTGTTTTTTTTTTTGTTTTGAAATTAGTTCTTTTCATGGGAGGGGAAAAAAAAGTCTAAAGTAATTATGAGCCAACCCGGCACTCTGCTAGTTCATAAAAGTAATCATATTTTTCTTCATAAAAATCTAACTTACAGGAAACAAATTACATTCTTTTTAGAGATAAAACAATACATTTTTAACAGGAAACTGAATGATTTTTTAAAAAAATAATTTTTCGCGTCTATAATCAACAAAAACACGGTAATTTAACGTTAAACGATCTATTATTCACCACCGTAATAGAGCTTTACACTTTTCTTCGGCCCCAAACTTTATTAGTAGTATTTATCCTAACATTTTTAGCATTCAATGTAATATATTTTTCGTCCGAAGAATTTTGTACGAAATCTGTAATAATGGCAAAAAAGATTACAATGTCGTTTTCGGGCAGGTTTGCAATATTTGGTGTGTATACTCGTTTAGGTAAGAGAAAAATCTGTTTGATTGACTTTTGGTCAGCAACATTAATTAATATGCACTAAACGATAATAATCAGTTTCTCTTTTTAAAGGCATAGAGTTTATCTTCTTTGCTCTCTCTCCGCTTTCTTTGAAGTTTTGCCGTTAATTTCTTTACTTCTCAGACTATTAATTTTTGATCGTTAAATTAAATTAAAATTATATTAAATTAAAAAAATATACATAATATATAAGTTTTGATACAGATCTCATCGTATTTGTGGCTCAGAATGAGGCTATTAAGGCAAACTGCCTATCGCTCAAGTCCCTTTAAATCAAGTTAGGGGACCTTTTACGTCTACACCACAAGATTCTTTATTAGAAACGCTAACTAATTATTATACAGCTTAAAATATTGAACATATTAATTTTTTTTTCTAGAATAGAAAATAAATCTTATTTCTTATGTCTTAGTTTAGTATCTCAATATTTAACTTTTTTTTAATATTTATTCTTTTCTTTTGTTTCTAGCAATTGTCTATATATCTTTTCAAACTTCTCTTGCGGCATTCATATTTTCAAACATCTTGTAATCTTGTTTCGAACAACTGTTCAATTGAAAGACAAGAACCAAATGTCAAATATATATATATATATTTAATTTGGCCAAAACTGCAAAACATATGCACTTAATTTTTTTATTCTTATAGTTGAGTAGTTTCCTTTTAATTTTGTCATTAATCACCCTCTCTCCCGAAAAAGTTGTCTTGAAGTGTTTGAAAAAAAAAAAGGTATATGAATATGTAATTATTTATTCTTAATTTCATTTTATTATTTTTCCTCTTTATTTTTTATTAATAAGATAAAATATACATACTATATGGATATGGCACATGAAAGTTGTTAAAAATAAAATAAAAGTTTGTAAAAATTAAGAGCAAGTACGCAAGTACAAGTAAAAAGTAATCGGATTATTTAGTAGGTACATTTACTCTCTAACATTTCAACATTTCAGTCTTATGCCCTAAACTTTCCAGGCTTGGACAAGCTGCCCCAAAACTTCTCATTTTGACCAGGGTTTTTGGAGCAATTGCCCCTCAAACTTGTCCTTTTGGAGCAATTGCCCCTCAAATTTGTTATGATTTAACAAATTACTTCTAAAATTTTTAATTTTAATAAGTTACTTTCTGAATTTATAAATTTATTGTAATGTACCTCATTTAACTAAATTTGTTCAAAATTTTTATTAATTTAAGGGATTAAAAGCTGATATGTTAAAAAATTTGTCTTACATTTAAATTGAAATTTTGAAATTTTTGGGTAAACATGCTTTTTTGACATTAATTTAACACAATCATTGTCAAAATAAAACACATTGCAACAAATTTACAAGTTAATGAGACAACTTGTTAAAATTAAAAATTTAAAGGGTAATTTACTAAACTACGACAAGTTCAGGGACAAATGTGTTAAAAACCCTTTTGGCAATTTATACTCCACCCCAAATTTGCTAAACTGTAGCAAATTGAACTTGAGAATCCTAATTCAAATCCCAACTTATCTCTCAATTCCACAACGCATACCAGAATTCATCGCCAACAAAGAAAACTCGCGGAACAACATTCAAGAAGGGAAAGAATATATGAAAAAACCATTTGTCAAATGTTGGACTAAAACCAGAGCACCAAGGCATTTGCAAACACCTCCTTAATATAATTGAGAGAAACTTAGGTTGTTCTTTCTAACAAAACTCAAAAAAAATTAAAACTCAAGTTACAATTTTATTTAAGTTCACGTTCTTTTAACTTCAAACTTTATTTAATTTTATTCAAATTATAACTCAAATTCAACTCAAAAACTACACTCAAGTCACACTCTAAAAAAACAGACCTTTAACCCTCCTTTATATCATAATCTGATAAGCAAATAATCTTAACCGCATTACAGAAATGGATAGAAACGTCTACACATAAACATTTATTATTAATAATTCGATACTTATCTACTAACAACAAAAATAGAAAGAGATTATACCAAAACTAAAATGACATTATAATGACATTTAAGTAATTTTCTTTTTTGGCACAGAAGATTATTTCATTTTGTAACAAAAATAACATTAAGCAAACAGAACCACTGTTATGGCCACGGGGAAGCAGAATGTAAGTATAAGCTCTCAAATAAAAAATGGAGAGAAAAGCAAGTTCTGCAATGATTTTCATGTTTCAAAAGAAGCAAAAGGTCAAAATCATTGATCGGAAAAATCACAAAAACCTCAACAAATCAAAATCACCCAATTAAATTTCATAATATGGAAACCAGTAAATCATATCTGAATCAAACCCCTTTTGTTGGAATCCGAATCGTGGTCGGACAAATCAGACTCTAGGGATTCAAGCGAATAGCCATACCCGAATCCTTGTCCGAACCCAATCCCCAACCCGACTCCGCAACCGAGTCCGATGCCGAGCACGAGCTTAAGGTGGTTCCACTGGGGACCACCGAATCCGAACCCTCCGACGAGACCGAATCCTAGTCCGACGCCGCACCCGATCCCGGCTCCGGCCCCGGGACCCAACACCGATTCCTGTGCTCGTTGGCGGCTGCGATCGAGAAACTCGGCGACTGGGAATCGCTTTTCGCTGTTCCGCTTCTTGTTCAGTTTGCTCTCGTTCCAGTTCCACAAGGCATTGGAATCGCCCTTTGGGTTTCTGGATTTCGGCTTCATTGAGGAACTTGATACTGAAAGAAGGTGAGCAACTTTCGCTGGGACAGCTGCTGTTGACTGTTGTTTCTTATCCACTTGAAAAATGGGTATTTTCTATTGTTTTTCTATTTTACGTTTAGTTTACTGATTTGAGTTTATAATTTTAATTAAGATATAATTTTATGTTAAATTTTTTATTATTTTTTTAGCTGTTATGAGTGTGAGATCCGCACGTTGCTGTGAAAATCAGTGTTATATTATATAATAGTTGTATTTAAAATATATTTATATATATACATGTATTATATAGCATTGTATTACATGATAGATATAAAATTTGTACAAATATATGTATGCATACATATATAGCGTTATTATTTAGAATATTTATATATATAGAATGTACAGACAAAAAAAAAGGAAGTTGTAGTCCCTCAGCATTTCTTTTTTTTAGCTGCAAGCATAAAAATGAGGAAAACAGTTGTAAATATAAGTGTTAAAAGAAGTGAAGGTGGCTAAATTATATAGTATGAAATAAGTATTATAAAAATATTTAAAGTACCTTGTTCTTGGGCGTTTCGTAGATTGTCTTGTTGTTCTTGATTCAGGACTGAAAGAATGGAATAATCTATAGATATGTTTTGGAATAAATTAATAATCTTTGTTGTGTTGAATGTGATTTACCTTGTGCTAGGCTTTTTTGGTGTTGGAGTGTGTGGATCAAATGTGGCTGGTGTTGATAGCTGGGATGATGGTATAGCTGGTGGGCTGAAAAAGGTGAAAATTTTTAAAATTGTTATTAATATAATATAAATGTTATTTATGTATAGTTGCTGGAAAATTTTGAAGACAATATTTACCTATGTGGTTTTTCTGTTCCTGCAGTTAATAGTTTGGGTGGCGATGATGGAATATGGATGTCCTCAAATATTTTAGAAATTAATGTACTCATTTGGGTGCCTCGTTGTTGGAAAAAGATCTGGAAGATTTTGGACTGTTCTCGGATCTGATCGATAGCTGGTGGTATTATAAATGGATCGGGTTTCTGGATTTCGGCTTCATTGAGGAACTTGATACTGAAAGAAGGTGAGCAACTTTCGCTGGGACAGCTGCTGTTGACTGTTGTTTCTTATCCACTTGAAAAATGGGTATTTTCTATTGTTTTTCTATTTTACGTTTAGTTTACTGATTTGAGTTTATAATTTTAATTAAGATATAATTTTATGTTAAATTTTTTATTATTTTTTTAGCTGTTATGAGTGTGAGATCCGCACGTTGCTGTGAAAATCAGTGTTATATTATATAATAGTTGTATTTAAAATATATTTATATATATACATGTATTATATAGCATTGTATTACATGATAGATATAAAATTTGTACAAATATATGTATGCATACATATATAGCGTTATTATTTAGAATATTTATATATATAGAATGTACAGACAAAAAAAAAGGAAGTTGTAGTCCCTCAGCATTTCTTTTTTTTAGCTGCAAGCATAAAAATGAGGAAAACAGTTGTAAATATAAGTGTTAAAAGAAGTGAAGGTGGCTAAATTATATAGTATGAAATAAGTATTATAAAAATATTTAAAGTACCTTGTTCTTGGGCGTTTCGTAGATTGTCTTGTTGTTCTTGATTCAGGACTGAAAGAATGGAATAATCTGTAGATATGTTTTTGAATAAATTGATAATCTTTGTTGTGTTGAATGTGATTTACCTTGTGCCAGGCTTTTTTGGTGTTGGAGTGTGTGGATCAAATGTGGCTGGTGTTGATAGCTGGGATGATGGTATAGCTGGTGGGCTGAAAAAGGTGAAAATTTTTAAAATTGTTATTAATATAATATAAATGTTATTTATGTATAGTTGCTGGAAAATTTTGAAGACAATATTTACCTATGTGGTTTTTCTGTTCCTGCAGTTAATAGTTTGGGTGGCGATGATGGAATATGGATGTCCTCAAATATTTTAGAAATTAATGTACTCATTTGGGTGCCTCGTTGTTGGAAAAAGATCTGGAAGATTTTGGACTGTTCTCGGATCTGATCGATAGCTGGTGGTATTATAAATGGATCGATAAAGCCTTCGTCAATTGTTAGTGCAGAACATGATTTTTTTTATTAATGCCTGCGCGGTTCTGCCAAAAGTGATGACCTCTATGTCTCTAGTATGATCTTCAATTTGAATTGTTAATTTGTACCTGTAACATATATACATATATATATGTATATTTTTTGTAATGTTTTTATTTTTTTATTAAAGCAAATAAAGATATGTAATAAATAAAAAGGGTTTGGTAATAAATCTATTTACCATGGAGAGGGCGTTGACTTTATATGGTCATGACTGTCGCACCACCAACCTATTCTTGCTTGCTTTAATTGTCGGTAACATATGGGGCAAGAATTGTAGAACCATCCTTGAGATGTCGAGAAGTTTACTATTGTTGCTCTCACAATGAATTTTTCACCATGTATAAAAGAGATAATAATTTTGTTTAAAATTGTTTACTAAGTATAGTAAAAAAATGATAGGAAAGTTAATAGTACTAATCAGATTATTTTGTGCATCCAATGTTTTGAATTCGTGTATTGTTCTTCTATTTGCCGATATTTGTTCTTCAATTGTTTGGATAGGTGTTTTTGGGGATGGTAGGAATTCAATTTGTTGATTTTGATGGGAAAATCTGTACGTATAAAAATATGAATAAGGTCAGGAAAGTATAAATAAAATGTATTATTATTTAATATGATCAATTTATTATAATATATTTTTTGTACATGTATGTTTATCTTGTTTTTAATGTTGTTGTTTCTGGGATATTCGGATCAATATAGAAAATCGTTGCTGATAGACTCGAAACATATGAGTTACCTTGAAATATAATAGAGTAAATAATAAATGTATGCTATTTTATTGTATATGTGTATATAAAGAAGTTTAAATAAAGTAATGTTGAAAATACCTAGATACTGCTTTGTCAACATTGATGAGAAAACAGCCACAATTGGTGCCTTTAATGCTTTAAGGACATTCTCATCAAACTGATCGCCTTTATGTCCCCAGAGGCTTACCTGCAGTTGTTCATTTCTGTAGGAAAAAAGTGGTTTATAAAAATGAGTAATTAAATCGAACGATAAAAGTGAGGAAAAATTGTATTCATGTTAAATAGTTGTAATGAATAGTAAATGTGAGGGAAAAGAGCATGAAATTATTATACCTGATGTTTTGTATTGTTATGGATCGCCGTGTTGTTGGTCTAGTGCTGACATGTGTATGCTCGAGTGCCTGGACACTTGTTAATACACCAATAACATCTAGTATTATATATAAATAGGAAAATTCTGTAAATAAATATTCAAGAAATTTTTATAGTAATAATAAAATAAGTTAAGTAAGATAGTACATGTTAATATCTCAGTATTATTTATTTTTTGATATAACTAGTCGAATTCTATGAAGTAGAATTTGTGAAATGGGATGTGTGGTGCGTCTTCCATAATTGGAGTAAAGGATGTTGCTCGTGCAAATTGAATCATAGCACTATGTGGAACGACTTTGTATGTCGGTTTATTTTCAGTAACATAAAAGTTACTAATATTGTATATATTGCCTTGCACAATTTTTTAGAAAATATAGTCCGAATCTCGTGCTCGAATTGTACCCTATATTGCCTCATGCTGTAAATAAATAATAAGAGTAGAAATTTATTCAATATTAATAAATATTATATAAAATAATATGTAATATAATATTTTAAAATTTTAGTACCTCTTCATCAACCAGGATACAGTCAAGGCTTATCAGGCGTCCTGAGACAAAATCGTTGTTTGTCCATATTCTGCATACTCGTGCTTGTATTGTTTCGTAGACCTCATTTGGTTTTAGTGCACGAATATGTGTTGTCATATTTTCTTAGTCTTGAAAAAAGTAAATAAGATGTTGTTATAATGACAAATATTCTATTTGAATTTATTGTTAAAAATGTTATATTAAAAAAAATTTAATGTTGTGAAGAATATAAGGTGGTATATATTTTGTATATATTTATTTATGTGATGTTATGTAAGATTTCTTTGTAGACAATATTTTTTATATGATTAGGATAATTGTTGTTTGAATCATTAAGTAATATATATAAGCCTTTTGGATTTGTCACTCTAGATAAAGCAACATATAATTGACCATGGCTAAATATTTGTTTTTCTAAAAATAGTCCAACTTTATTCAAAGATTGTCCCTGACTTTTATTTATTGTTATTGCATAACATATTTTTATAGGGAATTGGCATCTTTTTAAAGTAAATGGCCATTTAGATTCATGTACAGTCATTTCTATTCTTAGAATATAAACTTTATCAGAAATATTATTTGAAGTAATGATCTGTCTTTTTATTATTTTATTTGTTAACTGTGTTACGATAAGTCTAGTTCCATTGCATAGTCCAGCAGATTGATTTAGATTTCTCAGAAGCATTATTGGAGTTCCTAGTTTAAGATTTAGTTCATGTGGTGGTAAACCGTTGAAGTTTAAGTTGTGTAAAAATTCTTGAGGATATAAGAGATTTAGTTCTTCTATGTTTTTTGATGAAGGTAGTATTGTGTCATAACTATAATAAGTTTTTAGCTCATTAGGTACCAAGGATAATATATGTTTATTTATATCGTCGGCGGTTTTATTTTTCGGCGTTACAATTGCGCGTTGTTTTAGGTACTCAACGTTACTAAAATTGTTGTTAAAGTTATCGTATATTAATGTTGTTATTTTCTCAATTGGATCTAGGTCGAAATCAACATAGTATTTCTTAAGAATTTTTATCCATGTAATATCCTCATTTTCTAAATATTTTATTCCTTCAGCAGTACCATTTCCAATGTCCAATGTCCATTTTGAAAAATTTTCAATTTCTTTTTTTTCTTCTGATGTTGTATTAAAATGTTTTAATCGCATATTTTTTGTTAATGTTAAAACCTTAAAGTGTGACCATAAATATGAATTATTTATGCATGCATCTATTATGTGTTCTTTTGTTCCGGTAGGTAAAATAGGTAGGATTTGTCGAAAATCACCCCTAGAATAACTGTCATTCCGCCAAATGGTTGGTCAAAATTATTTCGTAAATCCTGAAGTGTTTTATCTAATGCTTCAAAATAATATTTATTAGTCATATGTGCTTCATCCCATAAAATTAATGATGTTTTTTCAATTAAATGTGCTAATTGTGTTCCTTTTTTTATATGACATGTTGAAAATTTATCTATTGATAATGGTATTCGAAATCTAGAATGCGCAGTTCTTCCTTTGGGCAATAATAGTGATGCTATTCCTGAAGATGCGACAGCTAGAATTATTTTATTATTAGATCTAATTTTTGTTATAATTGTATTCCACAAATATGTTTTCCCAGTCCCTCCATGGCCATAAATAAAAAATAAGTTGTTTTGTTTATCAATAACAAATTCTAAAATCTTATAGTAAATAATTCACTGTTCATTGTTTAAATTTTTTTCTAACAAAGAATTTTCTATTTTTAATTTATTTATATCATAATTTAAGTTCTTTTCTTAAAAGTTTATTGTTTAAATCATTTATCAGTGAACCAGTAGGTAAGGGTAGATTAAAATGAGCTAAAGTTGATGAATTTAGGTTTAACAATTTTTCTAGTTCATGCAATATAAAATTATATAATTCATTTTCTGGTATTTCAAAATATGGGTTGTTAAATTTTTTTTTTAATTTTGTATAAGATATCATCAGTCATAAGTTTCCTTTTTTTCGATTAATTTGAGTGGGTTATTTACATTGCAAAATAATAGTATAATAATAAATAAATATCGTAGCTGTGATGATGTATACCAAAAAGATGCTTCTAATATTGATTGTTCCCATTCTCTGTCATCTCCTAATAAACCTAATGCATAACATGATGCCTGATATGTTTGATGTGTTATGTTATCGATAGTTCGAAGATTTTCAAAGCTTGTTATTCCTTTTCGATGGTTTAGTAACAATTTTAGATAATATAATTCTCCAGAGTTTGGATGAATATAATATGATCGGCCTATTGTATGTCCTATTTGTCTAGAAGACCAATATTTATATC